GCTAGGTCAGGTTAGGTAAGGCTGTGTAAGGTAAGATGGAATAGGTGAAAAACTTGGGTGAAATGAACTTTGGCCATGCTAAGATACAAAACATTTGGGTATATTCGGTGGAAATTGGTATAAATTAGGTAAAATTTAGGTGGGAAAGGCATAAATTTTGCCAACTATAATCAAATCTGACTTTGGATATGCCAGGAGAGGCCGGGTAGGGTTGTCTAGGGCAGGTTGGAATAGGCGAAAACTCAGCTAAAATGAGCTTTGGTCATGCTAAGAAACAAAACATTTGGGTATATTCGGTGGAAATTGGCTTAAATTAGGTAAAATTTAGGTTGGAAAGGCATAAATTTTGCCAACTATAATCAAATCTGACTTTGGATATGCCAGGAGAGGCCGGGTAGGGTTGTCTAGGGCAAGTTGGAATAGGTGAAAACTCAGCTAAAATGAGCTTTGGCCGTGGTATGTTCCAAAACATTTTTGGGTGTATTTGGTGGAAATTGTCTTAAATTAGGTCAAATTTATATGGGATAACTTAAATTTCGCCGACTTTAACCAAATCTAGGTTTGGATATGCAAGGATAGGTTAGGTAAGGTTGCTTAGGATAGGATGGAATAGGAGAAAATGTAGGTAAAAAAATGGGCTTTGGCAATGCTAAGATACAGAACATTGGATATATTGGTGGGAATTGTCTTAAATTAGGTCAAATTTAGGTGGGAATAGCTTAAATTTTATCAACTTTAACCAAATCTAGGTTTGGATATGCTAGGATAGGTTAGGTAAGGTTGCATAGGGTAGGATGGAATAAGAGAAAATGTAGGTAAAAATGGGCTTTGGCAGTGCACAACATTTGGGGATATTTGGTGGGAATTGCCTTAAATTAGGTCAAATTTATGTGGGATAGCTTAAATTTCGCCGACTTTAACCAAATCTAGGTTTGGATATGCTAGGATAGGTTAGGTAAGGTTGCGTAGGGTAGGATGGAATAGGAGAAAATGTGGGTAACAATGGGCTTTGGCAGTGTTGTGATACACAACATTGGGGTATATTTGGTGGAAATTGCCTTAAATTAGATTGAATTTAGGTGGCAAAGCTTAAATTTTACCAACTTGAACTAAATCTAGGTTTGGATATGCTTGGTCAGGTTAGATGAGGTCGTGTAGGGAAGGACATATATAGATATATATAATATCTTAGGGGTCATGAACTAGCATGTTTATGAAATAGTGTAAATTTTCCTATTTGAGGTTCGAGTTATATGGCCAACTCATGTAATGTATGGACAGAGGTGACATAGGCTTGTATGTGAGGATATGGGATGCTCATATTTAGTTAGTTTAGCTTTTGCTAGGTTAAATTTAGGTAAATTTGTGAAGTATAAGTCTATTTTTTTTTATAGATTTAGATGAATTTAGGTTTTGATAGGATGCATTTTTGATAAGATATAGCAAATTTTCTTAAAATTATCATATAAAATACTGACTTCACCAAACCTAACATAACTAAGGCTAGAATAAATAAGTCTGTTAGATGGTTTGCATAAATAAATATGGGTGGCCTGATTGGAGAGGATGTGACAAGGAAGGTATTAATAAGACATTAAAAACAATGGACATATGTTAGATGAATAGTTTAGCACTAATAATGTTGAAATATTAATGGCAAATGAATGTGTTTTATATTGAGCTCATCGGAAGTTATATGCACCATTTTTATATGTGAAATTCTGACTTTTGGGGAGTTGGTTAAACTCAGCATATTATAATTAATGTCCTAAATATACCTAGAAAAATATCATGCAAATTGTGTATTGTTTGACCTAGTTGGTTGTGTTTGTATTTGCACATATATAGCACAATTAATATACTTGTGTATTAATTGTGTAGGTTATGTATTTTGCATAAGTTGTATGATTATTGCAATTATGTATTGATTATATTGCTATAAACTGTGTATTGTTTTGTGCAAGTTGTATGTATTAATTGTATATGTTTTTGTATGTGCATTTGTGGAAATTGTGTAGTTGTGTATTTAATGAATATGCGCTAATTATGTATTGTTCATATTTTGGTAAGTTGTGTATTGATTATATTTTTTAGCAAATTGTGTAAAGTCGCAATTGTATTTGTGTAAATCGTGTATTTATGCTAGTTGTGTATTTTCAAATTTGGGGTAGTTATGTATTGTACGTATTTGTGCTAGATATGTATTTTGTGCAAGTTGTGTAATAATTATGAAAGATGCGTAATATTTGTGAAAGTTGTGTATTAATTGCACATGTTGTGTAATTGCATATGGACGAATTGTTTATTTACACCTTTGTGTATTGATTGCCAGTGCGCAAATTGAGTAATTATATAGCAAGTTTGCTTGTATTAATTGTGCAAAGATGTATAATAATTACGCAATTTGTGTAATAATTTTCCATGTTTTATAGTAATTTTTGTGCTAATAGCGCATTTATGCAAGTTGTGTTTTTAATTGGCTAAAGTGGAACTGGTGCAACTGTATTTTTGTGTGCAAATTGTGTAAGCTCTGTAATCTGAAAACTAGATCTTCATGGTGTAAGTGTATTTTGGTTTATGAGACAATGTGTGGGTATTTTGTGAAAATTATGTTTGTGAAATTGTGTAATTTTAGTGAAAGCGCATTTTTAATTGTCTAAATGTATAAGCATTTTGATATATTTGTGCAAATACCGTACTTTGTGTAAATGTCATACTCTGAGTGTGCATGCAATATTGTGTAAATGGTATATTTTCGTGTCCAACTGACATATTTCGTATGTAAATGTTATATTTTTGTGTGATGGTATATTTTGAGTGTAAATAATATATTTTGTGCATAAATGGCATATTTGGCGTGTAACTGCTGTATTTTCTGTGTATGGCATAAATCACATCTGATTAATGGGGGAAATGGTGGCAAAAAACTAGGATATTCTCTATGAATGTATGGGTTGTGGAGTATGTGTAGGTATGTATGCATGTATTTGCGAGTGTTGGTTTAGAAACTAGGATTTTTTTTATTTTTGAGGTGTAGAAATGATTAGGCTATGAATATAGTGACTAGCATCCAGCTAAGTTGCTAGATGGATGAATTGAGGTGCGACATTTGGATAGCTATTTGATGGATGTGAGGACAGTTGACTAGCCTATCAACACAGCTAATAATCCGCTGTACTGCCAGATGTGTGGTAGCTACTTGTGGATTACAGTACGATATCTAGCTATAGGGTTTCATAATTGCTGTTGTGTATAAAACTAGAATGACAGCTATTTATTAAAACTATTATTGTAAACTAATACCTTAAGTGGATCCCTTGGTTGTTTTAAGCATAGGGTGGACATGAATATGAATGAGATTGGGTGGAGATATATAGGAGCCTCGTATGGGCCAATAGAACTTCTGCAGTTACCTTTATTCTTATGTTCAGCTCACCTACAATGCTGTCAGATGTACGATTCTACAAAAATTGCGCTATGACATTTGGGTTGCTGTTATACTTTTGCACTTATCACCGAATAATGATTACAGTTGTGGATAATTAAAATGTATATTATGCGTTTATGCAGTAATATTGGATTACTACTGAAATCGCATTGAAGTCACCATGCCTGGCAGGGGACTGTTAGTTTATACAGTAATATTGGATTAGTACTGAAATCGCATTGAAATCACTATGCCTGACAGGGGACTGTTTTCATACAAATGGATGATAGTGGGTTTTCATTTTTATTTTCCCTATGGTCAATAAGCAATCCTTGAAGACAGATTGACAAAGCTTAAATTGCATTATCTACAAAGGCGAAGAAATAGGGGAAACATGGCAAAAGGGATATTAATGGGCTATTAATACTATAAACACGAAACAATGGACATAAATTGGAAATATGTTTTTTAGATTTAGGAAAATGACCTGGGTAAATACTGGTTCTGTAACAAGGTGGAACTCATTTCTTATGTTAAAATGATCTTAGACAATGGGAAACCGTATGGTAATACCTTATTGTGAAAAACGAGCTTATGATGGTTAACGCCATTGCACATTAGGCTTGACAGATGGCAGCATTTTTATCCCCCTTTGCTATAAATATTGAAAATGGGAATAATTACACTATAACAGAAAACGGACTTATACAGGGAAGATGAAGACGGGGGTGACGTCATTGACCATTAGCAATGTCTGTGCAGGGTCACCGGGGTAACAGAATTTGGGTGTGCCAGGGACCGGCTTTTTAATCCTACCCCAGGGAAATTGAAGACTGGCTACCCGATGACGTCATTGACCATTGGATATGCCTGTGCATGGGTCAGGCCATGAAAGAAAATTCGAGAAAACCCTGGGGCCAATGACCGGCTTTTTAATCCCCTTTAACATGCCTGTGCAGGGTCACTGAGCTAACGAAATTTTGGGATGACTGGAGGCAGCCGTTTAATCCCCTTGAGCGAAAATGGCTGGGGCCAATGACCGGCCATGAAAATTATTTCGAGAAAACCCAGGGGCCATAGACAGTGCTTGGGAAAATATTCGAGAAAACCCAGGGGCTATAGACCGTGCTTGGGAAAATATTTGAGAAAAGCCCGGGGCCATAGACCGTGCTTGGGAAAATATTCCAGAAAACCCAGGGGCCATAGACCGTGCGTGGGAAAATATTTGAGAAAAGCCCGTGGCCATAGACCGTGCGTGGGAAAATATTCGAGAAAACCCAGGGGCCATAGACCGTGCTAGGAAAAATATTTGAGAAAAGCCCGGCCCCATAGACCGTGCTTGGGAAAATATTTGAGAAAAGCCCGGCCCCATAGACCGTGCTTGGGAAAATATTTGAGAAAAGCCCGGCCCCATAGACCGTGCTTGGGAAAATATTTGAGAAAAGCCCGGCCCCATAGACCGTGCTTGGGAAGATATTCCAGAAAAGCCCGGCCCCATAGACCGTGCGTGGGAAAATATTCCAGAAAAGCCCGGCCCCATAGACAGTGCGTGGGAAAAACCAAAACGCACGGTCTATGGGGCCATTTCCACTACTGTGAGGGACCTTACCAGCATGTTGAGGTACATTACCAGCATAGAGAGGGACATTACCAGCATGGTGAGGTACATTACCAGCATGGTGAGGGACATTACCAGCATGGTGAGGTACATTACCAGCATGGTGAGGTACATTACCAGCATGGTGAGGGACATTACCAGCATGGTGAGGGACCTTACCAGCATGGTGAGGGACATTACCAGCATGGTGAGGGACATTACCAGCATGGTGAGGTACATTACCAGCATGGTGAGGTACATTACCAGCATGGTGAGGTACATTACCAGCTTGGTGAGGGACATTACCAGCATGGTGAGGTACATTACCAGCTTGGTGAGGTACATTACCAGCATGGTGAGGGACATTACCAGCATGGTGAGGGACATTACCAGCATGGTGAGGTACATTACCAGCATGGTGAGGGACATTACCAGCTTGGTGAGGAACATTACCAGCTTGGTGAGGTACATTACCAGCATGGTGAGGGACATTACCAGCTTGGTGAGGAACATTACCAGCATGGTGAGGTACATTAACAGCTTGGTGAGGTACATTACCAGCATGGTGAAGGACATTACCAGCATGGTGAGGTACATTACCAGCATGGTGAGGGACATTACCAGCATGGTGAGGTACATTACCAGCATGGTGAGGTACATTACCAGCATGGTGAGGTACATTACCAGCATGGTGAGGTACATTACCTGCATGGTGAGGGACATTACCAGCATGGTGAGGTACATTACCAGCATGGTGAGGGACATTACCAGCATGGTTAGGGACATTACCAGCATGGTGAGGTACATTACCAGCATGGTGAGGGACATTACCAGCATAGAGAGGGACATTACCAGCATGGTGAGGGACATTACCAGCTTGGTGAGGAACATTACCAGCATGGTGAGGTACATTACCAGCATGGTGAGGGACATTACCAGCATGGTGAGGGACATTACCAGCTTGGTGAGGGACATTACCAGCATGGTGAGGGACCTTACCAGCATGGTGAGGGACATTACCAGCATGGTGAGGGACATTACCAGCATGGTGAGGTACATTACCAGCATGGTGAGGTACATTACCAGCTTGGTTCACTGGGCTGTGTCGGCAGGCAGTATGCATACCCGAAAGAGTGCCGAAAGAGTGGCTCGAGACACGAATGATTACCGATAAACACATGTCGTTCCTGTGTGAAAGTATCAGTGTTGCTCATTATATCATAAAGTCAAAGTCTACAGACTTTGTGGAATAATGGAATAAGGGTTCCGAGCCGTGACCCACCACCCTTCCCTAGTCAGTGGGGTACTGGCCGGACCCCGATGTACCGACGACACTCAATAAAATCAACAATAATCTGCTACTGCTACTATTGATGCTACTATTACTTCTACTACTACTACACCTGCCACTACTATTGCTATAAGTACTCCCACTGCTACTCTTACCACTATTTATACAACAACAGCAACAACAATAAAAATTAAAAATTTAATTATTACCAGTACTAATCCTATAACTACTACTACTACTACTACTACTACTATTACTTCTACTACCACTACCTCAACAGCTACCACTACCTCTACAGCTACCACTACCTCTACAGTTACTACTACAACTACCTCTACAGCTACCTCTACCCTTACATCTACTGCTACTACTACCACTACCTCTACAGTTACTACTACAACTACCTCTACAGCTACCACTACCTCTACAGTCACTACTACAACTACCTCTACAGCTACCTCTACCCTTACATCTACTGCTACTACTACGACTACCTCTACAGCTACTACTACAACTACCTCTACAGCTACCTCTACCCTTACATCTACTGCTACTACTACCACTACCTCTACAGCTACTACTACCACTACCACTACAGCTACTACTACCATTACCTCAACAGCTACTACTACCATTACCTCAACAGCTACTACTACCACTACCTCTACAGCTACTATTAACACTACCTCTACAGCTACTATTAACACTACCACTACAGTTACCTCGACCACTACCACTACAGCTTCTACTACCACTATCTCAACAGCTACTACTACCACTACCTCTACAGCTACCACTACAGCTACTACTACCACTACCTCAACAGCTACTACTACCACTACCTCAACAGCTACTACTACCACTACCTCAACAGCTACTATTAACACTACCACTACAGTTACCTCGACCACTACCACTACAGCTACTACTACCACTATTTCAACAGACCGCTACCTCAACAGACTTAAGACTTCTTATGAGAAAATAATTTCAGAAGTTTGTTATAAAAAGTCAGGGCAAAGTTGGCTTTCGTATTACTGAGAATAAAGAAAACGGACATCTTAACAGTAAGTTTTAGTATTTATATTGTGACGGTAACGCGTTGGTGTTCGGCTGTTCAAAAGCTAGGGGTATGGCCTCGTCACATAAAGAAACAAAAAAGAGAAAATCTGGAACTTCGTCTGTGGTAAGGTAATGGGAAGACACACAAAACACAAGTAAATTTAACAATGAAATTTTAATTACGTTAGAAAAGCAAAACATGAATAAAATGGACATACAAATTGGAACATAAAATCAATCAATCAAAATAATAAGAATAATCAAATGACAAAATGAAAAGTTACGTTAAAACAAGTGAGTAATAACAAGTGAACAATATACAATGTAAATATGGGTGCAGGAATATTGGCTTTAAGCTGCCACCTCTCTTAGTACACGTAAGCCAGAGCTTAGTCTACCAACGAGACGTGTTAACTTGTTGAAAGCACTGGATATTCTGAGGTCTGCAGGTCGTGTGGCCCCAGACATCAGGTAGTGTGGCGGTGGAGGAGCAGGCGCGACTGACCACCGGCCAATCAGCGATGAGCAGGCGACGGACAGGTAGTTTGGTGGTTCGAGTGGTGGAGGCGGAGCAGGTGTTCTTGGTGCTGAATACGTTTGCTCTCTGGCAAACCTTGGAGTTGTACTTGTTGATATTTCTTCCATATTAGTTGTATAGGGAAGTATAGCGACGAACTTAGGAGGGAAGAGCAGGCTCAATCTCTTGAAGGAGATTATCGTCACAACTCTCCCCCGAAGCCTGCGGTTCTGGAAGAAGTACGTCGTTATGTGGTGGAGTAATAGATGGAGTCGCTTCTACTTCATAAACTCTGGAGAGGGTATCGGCTATGATGTTGTCAGAACCCTTGATATAGCGGATCTCCAGGTTGAAATCTTGTAAATACAAAGCCCATCGTAGAAGACGCTGGTTGGTGAATTGGGATTGATGTAGGAAGCGGAGAGGGTTGTGGTCTGAGAAGATGGTTGTAGACCTGGCGCCTTGTAGGTACGGAGCGAAGTGTAGGAGGTTCAGGACGATGGATAGTAGCTCCTTTTCAATAGTGCTGTAGTTCCTCTGGTGTGGTTTCAATTTGTAGCTGTAGTAGCTGACAGGTAGAACCTCCTCGCCTCGTTGTTGCATCAGGACACCACCAACGCCGGTACCACTGGCGTCGACATGAAGGACGAAAGGTTTGGTGATATCTGGCGAGGCGAGAATGGGATTAGAACAGAGGAGGAATTTGAGTTGTTCGAAAGCAACGGTTTGCTGCATGGTCCACTTATACCGTTGCTTGGGACTGGTTAATAGGATTAGAGGTGTGGCGACTGTACTGAAATTTCTCACAAACCTACGGTAGTAGGAGGCAAGACCAAGGAAGCGCAGGAGCTGCTTCCTGGTGGTAGGCTGTGGATACTGTTGGAAGGCTTGAGTGTGTGAGTCTAACGGAGCTAGGCTGCCACTCCCAATAACATGACCCAGATAACGCACTTTACCTTTCGCGAAGGTGGACTTGCCCAGGTTGATGGTGAGGCCGGCTGTCAGGAGCTTGGAGAACAGACGTTGCAGCTGGAGCAGATGTTCACTCCAGGTGTTGGATGCTACGACGATATCGTCCAGGTAGGCGTATGTGTTATCCAAGCCCTGGATGACACGGTTGACAGCTCTCTGAAAGGTGGCCGGGGCATTACATAGTCCGAAAGGAAGGCGTTCATATCTGAAAAGTCCAAAAGGAGTGATAAAGGCAGATATCTCTTTAGCTCGCTCCGTTAGACACACTTGATAGTACCCCTTCAGCAAGTCCACTTGGGACAAGTACTGGGCACTACCAATGGCGTCAAGGATGTCATCTATCCTTGGCAAGGGGTAAGCATCCTTGACTGTTACGTTATTCAATTTACGATAGTCAGTACATAACCGCACCTTACCTTGGGGTTTGGGCACCAAGATACAGGGTGAGGCCCAGGGGGACTCACAAGGTGTAGCCACTCCATGATCCAAGAGGTACTGCACCTCAGCACGCATGACTTCCTTCTTGCTCAGGCTGATTCGGTAGAAGGGTTGACGAATCGGCAGGGTGTCGGGGAGCAGTTGGATGTCGTGCTGGGTAACATTACACTCTTGGGGGTCATCTCGGAACAACTCCTGATGTTCTCTGAAGATCTTGACAAGAGGTGCACTATGATTATCCTGAAAGTATTTGGGAAGATCATTAAGGATTTCGGAATTAGAAAGCGCTGACTCCTTGTCAGTGCTTTCGGGAGGAGAAGCTGGGAAGGTCTCACTGTGGATGTAGGGTTCTGTGAAGGTAAAATAGTTTATCATGACAGTGGGAGGAGTACCATTATATTGCTTCAGGAGGTTGACGTGGCACAGCTGGGTCTTCCGCCGCCTATCTGGAGTCTCGAGAACGTAGTTGTGGTTGTTTCTGCACTCCTTGATGCGGTAGGGTCCTGAAAACCTGTTTTGTAAAGGAGAACCTGGGATAGGAAAGTATGCTAGTACGAAGTCTCCCGGCTTAAATTTTCTTACTTTGCTGGTCTGGTCGTAATAAGTCTTCATCCTCTCATGGGCTTTCAATAGATTATCATGGGCAAAACGGTGGACTCTCTCTAGAATGTGTTGAAGGTTTTGAAGAAACTGGGGCACATTCTGATGCTCACTGAAGGTGGCATCTCTTAGAGAGTCTTTGAAAGCCTTAAGGGGAGTACGACACTTACAGCCGTAGAGCATCTCATAAGGAGATACTCCTAGGGACTCATTGGGAAGACTTCGGTAAATACACATAATCAAATCAATTTGCTTATCCCAATCCTTAGAGGTTTCACTACAAAACATTTTCAAGAGTGCTTTGATAGTCTGATGACTACGTTCAAGAGAACCCTGTGAAGCAGGATGATAGGGGCTGGACAATACCTGCTTGATGTTGAACTCCTCCAGTGTCCTTTTGAAGAGATCACTGGTGAAGTTGGTACCACAGTCGCTCTGGATCTCCCTGGGAAATCCGTATTGAGTGAAGATCTTCAATAGATGCTTTACAACCGAAGCAGCCATGATGTTCTTCACTGGAACTGCTATGGGAAATCTGGTGGTAGGACACAGGATGGTTAAGATATAGGCGTTACCTGAACTGGTCCGAGGTAAAGGACCAACACAGTCTATTATAAGTCTGTGGAAAGGTTCCGCAGGCACCTGTATAGGAATCAGTGGCGCTCTGGGAATGGAGATGTTCGGTTTGCCTGCCATCTGACATGTATGACACTGTTTTACGTACTGTTTGACGATATTTACCATACCTGGCCAGTAGTAGTCTTGACGAATTCCATGATAAGTCTTGTTGAATCCGTAGTGGGAGAGTGCTCCGTGGGCCAGGTGTAGAATAGTGGGCCACAGGCTGGTAGGAATCACAAGTTGTTCGATGTTGGCCCAATCGTCCTCCTCCTTCAGTTTACTGGGTCTATATCTGCGGTAGAGCAAGTCGTTCTCTAGGAAGAACCCAGGAATACTGTCGGGTTGAGTCTCAGCCTGGAAAAACAATGGTGTTAAGGTAAGATCTTCCCTCTGCAACTTACGGAACTCCAACTTGTTCAGATTCGGGGGTAGTTTCTGAGGGTCTTGAAATTGAAATTGAAATTGAAATAAGTTTATTGAGGTAAAATACACACAAAGGGATGAGGTAGCTCAAGCTATTCTCACCCCATTCAGTACAACGTGTTAATATATACATAGACACATCAC